AAGCTGAAAATATAGGCTACATATAATAATATATATGGCGCGCCGCGCCGGGCTGTGTTCAGCATGTTTCACTCCCCTCGTCACTGCGCGGTTTGAAGCTCCGCTCAGTTTTCCGCTCTATGAATGTGCTTGTGTACCGCTCATCCTCACCGGAAAAGCAAAGTCCGCTCAAATAACGGGCTGACAGGAAATTTCTATGCAGTATACTTGTTCATGTTTGCAGTAGTGTTACTGTGCTGTAACATGGTGTAGGCTAGTTCAGCTGTACTGGACAACGCTGGTAAAATGTTCTGCTCATATGCTCTGATAATAGCTTTGTAGGAATATACATTATTTGGATAATTAGTCCAAAAAAACAACAACTTATATCTGATTCTGTTACATAGAAGTGAATAAAAATAATATATTCCAGTTTTATTGCGTTACTTTCAGTAAAAGTGGTTATTTTATTGGCTTGTGTTTTTTAAATTCAGTATCATTAAAATTGTGTTAAATTTAAAAAGTCTTACAAAATTACTTTATATTATTTAATAAAATAATAAATAATCATTACAAAGCAGTTTCGGTTTCGGTTTTCGGCCAAGTGTATCCAGAATTTTCGGTATCGGTTTCGACCCAGAATTTTCATTTTGGTGCATCCCTACATATTTTTTTATGTTTTGGCAAAATTATGAACTAATGTTCTTCCAGTAACTTAAAAAAATTAAAAGTTGTATGGTCTTTAATAATGTTCTCAAAACGTTAGGGCAAAAACATTACTTATACATCTTTCTTGGGATGGTTTTTTTTCTGAAACATTTTAGTTGGCCGTTCATCTAACATTTTGTAAATGTTACTAGTACTTGTTTCAGAATTTTCAGAGAACACTGAAAATTAATGTTCCTATAATGTTTAAATGATAGAATGGAATGTTCATGTTCTTTTACATTATCATAACCAAGAAAAAAAAAAATATTTAAGCATTTAAAAAACTGGACATTTTAAACATTCAGGGAACATTCAGAAATAATGTCTATATTTGAAATAATGTCAGAAATAATGTCTATACTTTATAGGAATGTTAGAAAAACGTTCTTAGAACATATTTTTGTTAGCTAGGTATTTAACGGTGTCATAGTATAATATTGGTCCTAAAAATTATTGTGATACAAAAATGTATTGTGGTGCAATACAATCATTCAGCCAGTTTCTGTTCCTGACCAGAAAGGCTGTCTGCTGCTCTTCAGCACAGTTCTGCAGTTCAAGATTTGTGATGTGAAGCGTAAAAACATGACAAAAGGTTAATTTGTCAATACAAGACCACCAGAGTTTTTTAGTTTCACCTAATGAGATATTTATTACAAATCCATGTAAATGTCAGTCTTAAAAATGCCTTTTGCTCAGCTGATCACGTGCTCGACTACAGCAGCGCGAGCTCAGGCACTCAGCGCACGCTCAGGGACTCTGCATCTGACAGCTGTGGAGCAGTTATCCTGAAGGACTACAAACAACTGGCGCTGAACTTAAACCTAAATACTTCCAAACACAGAGATAAGGTGGCATTTACCTTTGTTGTGTACAAAGCTGATGGTCTAAATTCATTCATTATATACTGTATAAGCAGAAAAGAATATTGCAATACAAATCCATGGACAACCTGCTTGGGAATAACAAACAGCCAATTAATACTGTGCGATCTTGCTTTTGGTTTATAATTTGAAATGTAATATGCATCTGACACCTGCTTTTTCCCCTGTAATAATTACTCCAATTTTCCAAACTTTTGTTATTTGACAAATATGACCAATCATCAGTTGAACTGAATTGAATTGATTTGTTGTTTATTTGATAAATATGACCAATAATCGATGTACACAATAATGATGAAATTATAATTGTGTAACTGGATGGTAATAATAATAATGGAATTTGTATGGAATAAGGGAAAACCTATTAATACTGTGTGATCTTGCTTTTGCTTCATAAATTGATATGTAATATGTAACACCTGACAAATTGCTTGCTTTATTATTGTAATTACTTCAAATTTCTTTAATATATTTCAAACTTTTTAAATTTATTTGACAAATCTGACCAATCATCAGTTAAATTGAATTGAATTGAATAATTACTAAATTTTTCCAAACTTACGTCCTGTTTATTTGACAAATATGACCAATCAACAATGTACACATTAAAGGGGTCATATGATGCGATTTCAATTTTTCCTTTCTCTTTGGAGTGTTACAAGCTCTTGGTGCATAAAGAAAATCTGTAAAGTTGCAAAGACTAAAGTCTCAAATCCAAAGAGATATTCTTTATAAAAGTTTAGAGTCAACCATGCCTACCTAAAACGGCTCATTCTAACACGCCCCCACATGTCTACATCACAATGTGGGAAGATTTGCATAACACCGCCCAAATGTGCACGCAAAGAAAGAAGGCGTGGTTTCAGGAACAGCAGTCGTGTTGATGCAGCATGTCAGGGAGACGCTGTCTGTAATTTGCCAGTTGACTAGGATCTAGTTGTGGTTTCTTAATAAGAGGCTTAATAAGCGCCAGCTTGAATGGTTTTGGGACGTGACCTAAAGACAACGACGAGTTAATAATATTGAGAAGTGGTTCTTCTGCTACAGGTAACAACTGTTTCAGTAATTTAGTGGGGACGGGATCTAACAGGCATGTTGTTGGTTTAGATGCAGTGATAAGTTTATTTAGCTCTTCCTGTCCTATAGTTGTAAAGCACTGCAGTTTATCTTTTGGTGCGATGAATGAAGCTGAAGTATTATACGCTGTAGAATCTACATTTGTTATTGTATTTCTGATGTTATCTATTTTATCAGTGAAGAAATTCATAAAGTCATTATTATTAAACTGTGAGGGAATATTTTGATCGGGTGGCATCTGGTTATTTGTTAATCTAGCCACTGTGCTAAATAATGTACATTATGTGGAAAATAATGTGTTTTTTAACCTTAAACCGCATAAACACATTGCATTACACCAAATACACAACATAATGTTCTTTTTAGCAACGTCATATGACCCTTTAATAATAATAATAAATTATAATTTCTATAATTGAATGACAATAAATTATTACTCTCTGTACCCTCATTCATATTAAATTGTTGAATAGGCATTATTTTTTGTTTTATTTGCGCACAGAAAGTCTCGTAGCTTCACAAAATTAAGGTTGAATCACTGATGTCACATGGACTATTTTAACGATGTCCTTACTACGTTCCTGTGCCTTGACCGTGGTAGGATCCTTGCTGACTACGCAGGGTCAGAGAGCTCTCGGATTTCATCAAAAATATCTTAATTTGTGTTCCGAAGATGAACAAAGGTCTTACAGGTTGAGGGTGAGTAATTAATGACAGAATTTTCATTTTTGGATGAACTATCCCTTTAAATGATATAATTATTTAATATAGTTTTAAATGTTTTATTATTGTTGTGTTTTTTTTTATCATCTAGGTATTCGATTTTAAACATAAAGTCTTATACATGGTGGCATCCCTATTTCTGGTTCTAACCCCATCTCGGAGAAGTTCGTTTCGCCCAAGCGCTCTGTGAAAATGGATTTTTTTTTAAATATCTCAAGAACCAACCTGGTGCATTACCCCCTTCACTGACCTTTATGAGATGAGCCATTGAGAAGTCCAGTCTCGACATTTGGTTTGTGTTTGAATGGTCTTTTTCTGTGGTGATGACCGTCCTTTCTTTTATCTTCTCCCCCACAGAGTGGTTTCCTGTAAACAAATCGCCAGAGTATTCTCTTTGATCAAATGGGATTCTTTTGATACGCTGGCTAGATATCTTGTATGTAATCGTTCATTTTTAATCTGAAAGGCAGCGGCTATTATTTTCTTTTGTGACGTCATGTGCAGAGTACTTAGCCTTTGCATCAAGAATGAAATAACAGACCATATTTACCTTAAAAGCGTAAAACTAGCTGCACTCATGTGAGGCAGATAATAGCCCTGGAAGATGTCCTAATGGTAATCCCAGTTAGCCGAGAAGAGCGGATGGAGCACATTGCCACAAAAAATGGGCCTTTTCTCCAAGCCAGCAGCTGACATTAGCAGGCTAGTTTTTCTCAACAGATGGTTCTCAAACATATTCCCTCTTTCCTTGCCTTTTGCTTTTGCTTCTGCTTAGTCATTTCTCTCTCTATTTTCATCTCCCAAAATGATATTTTACCTCAGGTCTCCTCATCCATTTTCCCTCCTTGGTACTTTTAAAAGTTTCCAAAAGTGTATATATGGCTGTGGATTTGGACGTGATGTGAGCATTCAAAGTACTTGGCTTCCTGTTTTAAGTCCCTTTACTAGTGTTGAGTTCTGACAGTGATTCATGGCTTTAACGGTTGTAATCTTTTGACTTTGAGACTGATTCTGCCCACCTCCACCGGGTAACGGCTAGAGCATGCGGAGGGCAGGAGCGAACAGCTGAACATCAGCCGTTCATTTCATTCCTGTAAAGCGTTATCATTCACCTCGCTGTCGAGCTGAACACTAAACTCTTTTACTGAGTGTGTCACGCCCGCCCAAGTGTATAATCGAGTGCTTGGCCCACTAAACAGGCAATCCAGCACGTTTGGAGGACCGGCCTCTCCATTTTGGGTCTCCGGTGAGCCGTGGCCTCATGTCGCGTTTACAGCTGAGATCTTTGAATTTTAAATGCTGCCTTTGGTCAGTATTGTTAACACATCTGGATTTGCATTGCTTTATTAATCCTATCAGATGATGGTATTAAACAGAATGAAGATTTATCTATTTTATTGATACCTGTAAGATATATTATGATGTTTACAGTCAGTGCGGTAGCTATAGAAAAGCTAGTCAGAAGTCAGAGACTGTTTTTGTCTGCTTATCTTATTCTCTTGATGCACCCTTATTTAAACAGACATAGAGAACGCTTTCCTTGTTAAATTATTCATACACGTTTGCATCCAGAAGCTGACTTTTGCAGCCGAAATGGTCAGTGGTGATGGCAGCTCATTATATCTGCTGGGAGAGGTGTGCGTCAGGAAGGCATTTGACTCAATTTAGTGGAGACGTCTGTCACCAGGTTTTCAGAACATCACATAGATTACAAAGAAAAGTTACTGTGTTTTTTATTCCCAAGTCTCTTGCTTTGTAGCAGTGACCTCTGATTCACCTCCATTCTGCCCAAACACAGACAAATGCTCTTGGTTTCAGTCTCTTGACTGTCTTACATAATACCCCACGGTCATCGAGTTCATTTAAATCAGGATCTTTATATAATTGAATACAGGATGACCTCTGTGAACCGTATTAGCAACAGTATGTTTCCAAGAGCTCGACCAAGAATGAAACCAGTGTCAAATGTTTGTCCAGTGACCTCATAATGTTGCTATGCAGCGAGTGGTGTCTAATTAACATCTAATTATATTTTTAATCCAATTTTGTGGAGGGAAAAAAATTATAACATTTGCAAATCTAATGAGTCGAGAAAGAGATACTCATTTTGGGAAATTGAGTATACCATACCTTTTTTTTTTTTTAAGAAAATTAATCAATTTTGAGCATAGACAAAATGATTAAAAAGTGACAGTAAAGTATTTTATAATAGATGGTACTAAAGATTTATGTTTCAAATAAACGTTGTTCTTTTTGCACTTTCTATTCATTCAAGAAACTTGAAAAATATATATCAGTTTCCACAAAAAAAATATTAAACCGCTATTTTTGTCATTTGATATTAATATGAAAAGTTTCTTCAGCTCCAGATCAGCATATTAGAATGATTTCTGAAGGATCATGTGACTCTGAAGACTGGAATAATGGCTGCTGAAAATTCAGCTATGCATCACAGGAATGAATGCATTTATACATATATTACAATAGAAAGCAGTTATATTAATATTTCACAATATTGTTGTTTGTACTGTATATCTGATCAAATAAATGCAGACTTGGTGAGCATAAAAGACTTCTTTCAAAAACACTAAAAAATCTTACCGAACCTTGTGAACACATTTGTGTGTGTGTGTTTGTGACACATGAGGACACAAATTTGTATAATGACATGGGTATGACATAGGTATTACAAGGAGAAGGTGACTTATGAGGACATTACCCCATGTCCTAATATGAAAAGTTTCTTCAGCTCCAGATCAGCATATTAGAATGATTTCTGAAGGATCATGTGACTCTGAAGACTGGAATAATGGCTGCTGAAAATTCAGCTATGCATCACAGGAATTAATGCATTTATACATATATTACAATAGAAAGCAGTTATATTAATATTTCACAATATTGCTGTTTGTACTGTATATCTGATCAAATAAATGCAGACTTGGTGAGCATAAAAGACTTCTTTCAAAAACACTAAAAAATCTTACCGAACCTTGTGAACACATTTGTGTGTGTGTGTTTGTGACACATGAGGACACAAATTTGTATAATGACATGGGTATGACATAGGTATTACAAGGAGAAGGTGACTTATGAGGACATT